ATCATCAATCGTGGAGGAACGATTTTTAAAGGGGCCGGCACCAAAGGGTTGTAACCACACAGCCAATATTGCCATCTCATCCATTTACTAATGCCAGAAGATTGTAAAAAATTCTATTCTTCAACCAGGGTTATTTTGGACTCCACAGAAATTTATGTTGAAATGTATGTACAATCACAGTTATATTCTACATATAAACACTGTTAATATGAATTTTGAAATTTTCTTGTTTTACGTATGATTTTTCTTATCATCATTTAACTTAAATTACTCTTTTACAGAATGCCACATTTACAGTCAATTATATATTGTACCAATCGCATTTGTGAAAGCATACCTGGAGAAATGTTAAGACTGAGTTACAATTAAAAAAGTAGTTAATGTTTTCAAGTGCATTTGCAGAAGTTCTGTCTGAGGAAAAAAAAGAATATGAGTGTAAAAGTAATATAAACATGAAAGGGCTAATTGGTGTTGCACCAAATGGAACCATTACTTTTGGGTCTAGTTTGTAAACAGGTGGGATTTCAGACAAGGAAATAACCCGATGTTCAGGCATTTTAGATCCCTTTAGGCAGATAAAGGGTTCGACATCAAAAAATTTATTAAACAATAAGGGAGTAGAATTGAACATTTCTCCTAGCAAAATTTWAAATCCATGTGGAGAGAGCTATTAGGAAGCTAAATGAATACTATATATTTGATTTGAACATTGCACCAACTATGTTAGGTTCTATTAACCAAATTTAAACTGTCTGTTGTTTATTAACCAATTTCCAGGGACCTTTATAACTATTTGATTAAACAGGGTTCTTGATGGCAATTATTAAAGGCTTTGGGTTCCAGGTTTTAATTAAATAATTAATGCCAGTAAGTTTAAAGATACAAAAATGTCTCTTAGAATTCAATCTTGGTTCAACATCAGTAGSAATCAACTAATAATGTTATTKGGAAAGTTCTATTTGAGCAAATAATTATGTGAAAAATACTTAAAAGAAATGCAAAYTCTGTGCATTACCCCCTCTACATCCAAGAGTCTTTAAACCTCTATTCTTCTTGCTCATAGGTTGATTAAAAAGGCCTTCTACTTTCCGAAATTTTTTTCTTGATCCATGTTGACGAAAGTCCAGTTCAGTCTCAACAGTGCTTKATATGAATTGGCGCTTCATCGTTTCGCCGCTAGAGAAACTCAGGTCAACACTTACTTACAAATCAAGCTTATCGTCCTCGATCAAAACTGTCAATCAGCAAATATCCGGTTGAGCATTACATAAGCTTACCACCCAGCTCAACTTCAAGCTAGTTTATTCTTGCAGTTCAGGACACGTGATATTATGTATTCTAAAACATTTTACCTTTTTATAGATACTTACACGGCAAAATCTATCTAAAATGGGATTAATTTGTAAAGTAGGATTGGTTTACACGTCCAATCAGGATTTTATGCAATCACTCACAAGACCTTAGGCGGCCTGTCGATCACTGAAGTAATCCATGTAGCAATTTTGATTAGGAGTTTTTCTCTGAAAGTTCTTTTGTTTGGGACTTTTCCGATCCTTTGCCAACRGCTTGTCTTGGACACTCAAAGCCGCAATTAGATCTCGACGCAACACTGTTGTGGTTCGCGATTTTTTATAATCACCTGGGTAATGATACTAATTCAATTTATTCAAGTGGTTTTCTTTTGTCTTTTCCCATATCTCTTGGGTTTTCTCAATGCTCACCTTTCTTTCCTGTCAGTAGTAACTGACATTTTTTTCAACGTCACCTGTGTTTGAATCCGAGAAAAAGTGCTTAGGAACATGTAGTTCTCAATTTAGACAGCTGGTTAGCTAATGAAAACTACCTTAGGTTCTTTTCTTTTGTTGTTGAATCTCTTTTCTTGAGCTCCTCGTGGATCGGCTCATCCTGTTCAGTTAACAATGACACAGTTGGCATCTTTGACTTGACTCTACTCTTCTTTAATTCTTGAAAAAGCCATGGTCGTTCTGGAGCTTCCCTATGTTGTCTCTGTCCCAGGTTGAGGAGAAAGGTTTTCCACCWTTCTTGCTGTGCGGGTGTATACTAACATCCATACTTCGATATGTTCGATTTCATGGAGGTTATGATTTTGTCTATACCAGAAGTCCTCTGCGTCGACCAAATCTGCCTAACATGTCGTATTCTTCAGGTAATTGGAGATCTGATACAGGACAGTCCAAACSTAACCTTCTTGTCAATTGTCATTGGATGATAACCATACAGTACACAATTAAAATCACATGAATGCATACTTAGGCTATCAAAATGTAAGTATGCATTCAATACAGTTTGAGAATTTAGGGTGGTGTGAAGTTGTCTCTCCAATACATTAACCAAGCTTCCAACTGGCCAATGTTGCGGGAAACAAACRCAGGTCAATGCTAATAATAAAAGAATCATTGAAATTATGCAAACCCATAGCACATGTTACACTTTAGACATTTCTTAATATATGTTTCCACATTCTCTACCACCTTGCTCTTGTTAAAAATTCTAGCCTCGTTTGTAATCCGCATGAGACTGGTAAGGGATTCTTTAYGATAGTAGCCTCCTTCGGTATTAGTTTCTTTAACAAAACCGGTTTTGGCCCATCACTCTTGCTATTCTTGAACTCAATCCTCTTCTCTTTCAGAATGTAACCACTTATTTTCGTCAACACATCCGCTTCATCTGAAGGATAAACTAATTCTTCATTGTTTGTGTCGATGTCTAGTTCTTTTTTCATTGGTGTCCTTTTTGTTTGCTCTTCAGAGCTACTTGCAACGTGGAAGCTGTCAAGCTGGTTCGTCTCCCTGAAGTACCACAAGCAAATCCGTTTGTGCTTGCAAGTAACCTTTCTTCGACAGCAATGGCAGTCAAGCGTTCCATTTAACAAATCAGCAGTCACAACAATCCTACCAAACCTGCTTTAGTAGTTAATATTCCCATCATACACCGAAAAAYKAATAAACCTGTCTYCATCCATTAGTGGAACAAGACATTGTGCGCTGGCCTCTTGTGCTTTTTCCTGTATCTCTCGACTCTAAAACCTTTATCGTCTGAAAATATTCTGTATGCGCCATCTGCAGAAAGATCGTTAAGGGCGTCCAGTGAGAGAGATGTTTTCCGGAAAATAAAAGTTGTTGCCAACTTCTTGGACGTGGCAACATTCAGGTGTTGTAATCCCGCTTCGCCAAGCCACCCTTATGGAATCCATGCAGTAATTTCACAACGACCAACAACCTTCTCGGCTTCTACTTCCTTTTTTGGCATGTATTGAGTGCGTTACACCACCCTTTGAGCTATGCCTGACTAAAAAATGCCGTTTTTCGTCAAGACATGTCGCCATATGTGTTACACGGTGGTCATGTACATCTTTACGATGGCGAACCACACTTTTAGTGTGCATGGACTTTCCAATAAATGGGAAATGACCTCTTTCCGGTGACATGTCTCTGGACTTTGATTGTTTCCTCCTCATCCTCCTCTTCCATCGTTTGCAGAATTTTCTTCTACATCTTTCTGGCAGTTTGGTTCGGGGGTTCCCTCTACATTTTTTCCAAGCTCTGCTTCAGGACTGTAACCGTTTTTATTGGGTTGCTTTTGTTGCTTTGTTGCCGACTTCTCAGTTTCATGCGCAGTTTCAAATGCGACATGAATGGACCTTGGTAGGTCACCGTCAATCCACAAATTGGACAGTGATAATGCGGTCTGTCGGTCGCCTCCTTGACATCATTGTGACATAATTTGCATGGATAACATGTATGACCATTATGCAAAACAGCATATCTTGACTTTGTAAAAAGTGACGTTTGCAGTTGTAGGGCGTTTTACACGATTTTTTTGCATAGAGTACAGTGCTTGTTGATTTGAAATCTGACCACATTCTGCCCTAATCTTCGAGATTTAACACACAACACACAATATGCATTGAGAATGTTGGTATATTAGTCGAGTAAGCGACAGTAATATATATATACACTCTCTTAACGCGCCACCTCTTAACCAAAGGGCGCAATAACTTTGTAAAACAGAAACAAGCGCTACTTAAGCCAAATGGCAAAACCGAAAATGTAAAATATCGGCGCACACCGCCTTCAAACACCCATGAAAATCCTAGATACTGCTGATGATCTTCGCAGATTTCTACATGATGGTATCCGGATTTTAAATCCCAAGTGAAAAACCAGTAGCCTTCTCCAACGACTTGAGAAAGAGAGCGCAAATCCTCATATTTGAATTTGGGCTTAACCAAAAATTGATTGACATGCCTGAGGTCTATTACTAAACGAAGCTTTTTACCTTCAGCAACGGTCAATGGATTAACACAAAATGGTGGAGACTCGTGCTCAAAAATACACTCATTTTGTAACAACTCAGAAATCGCCTCAGCAACAAAATCCTTGTGTGTCAGGGCTGATAAATTATTGCGCAAAAAACAACGCGAAGGATATGCAGCAAAAGGCAATCTGTATCCCTGCTTTATCATGCTTAAAACAAAATCAGAAGCATTCAAGACATTGGAACAAAATTCCACGGCACCTCTAATGCGGCCTTTAACCTTACTACTCCCACTACCAGCGGTAAATTCGCCGGATTGTAAATTACTCAAATCAATGATTGGGCCATACTCAACTTCATCATCAATTCCATGGTCATCAGCACCGGCTAGTCATTTGGAGCTTCCGGCTTTGGATGTTGAAGCAGAAGAGGAAGACGAAGTGGAAGTCTTTGTACAAAATGCACT